CGTTAGAAGACATTAAATTTGAATTTAAAGTACTAATTTTATTTTCTGCTCTCTATCTTATTACCCCTTTCCGTTCATTTCGTTGTTCTTGGGGCCGGTTGCGTCAACAGGCCTAATCAGCGAAGGCCTATCTGTAGGAACGCACTATTGAGATCATTGAGCTTGGTGCTGAGGGCCTCCAGCGATTCTGCTATAATGACTATATATCGACAAATCGATGATAAAAAATGTATTTGCCATTGATATTGATATTTGTATCCTTTCAGCAGTGAAGAGTTTCGGAGATATCACCTCAGTTGGATAGATTTCATACTCTGATAACCATGATACCGACAGTTCGAGACACCACTGACGGGCACCGCCCTTAATTTCGACAGAACCAAAGGTTTTCTCATAGTCCACATACAAAAGGCAAAGGCAAAGTAGAAGATTGCAAATTGGTCCCCATTGTCGGTTTCGATATTTTACATCTGGCGTAAACGAGAAACGGTATGACCAAAACCGTCATCTATAGCAAGCCATGAAATCCTTCTGAGGTTTGTAGTAGTCGCCTCTTACGACACCTACGAATCGCAATTGGTTGATAGATTTTCTTATACTACACGACTTTACTTATCTTTGCTTGTATTGAATATTATAACGAATCATTTTTTAAAATGATGCTATTCATATTGAACGAGTCGGAATTATTTTCACTCGAATACTTCTTAAAATGAACGCGATGTAAACAACGGAAGGCAGCCGATGTTATGCAAGAAATCATTCAGATTTAAAGCCTGTTTCATACAATCAGCTTTTTCATTCTACATAGTACAATCCTGGCAGTCGACGAGCGATTCACACTCGATTGGTTTATTTAAAAGCTTTTCAGAATGTTTATTCGATATGAGAGAAACGCAAGTATCTCGGAAGTATCTCAGAACGAAGATTCTTTCGTCAGATGTTTTTACATGTACTTTAAAATGTAATCCTTTTAATCAGTTTATATTTCAATATGAAGTATAAAAATTAAATACAAAACTCTTTCTTTTACCTATTTTTAAAAAGACATTAGAAATAGCTGTCGTTTCGGTACTTTTCGGTATTTTTTTAAGTAATTCAATTATCCACCTCTAAGGTCAACTACTGGTCGAAGTGGATAAGTGTTTGTTTGTGGTTTCAAATACCGCACATAACAACTACGATAGCCATTAAAAAAATCGGCCCACCTGCGTTTTTGCCGCAAATCACGTTTTTCTAAAGCAGAACCAATCAAAACATTTAAGTCCTGAAATGTTTTATTTAACTTGTTTATTTACACCAATTTAATCACAGTTACAACATCAAAATGATTTTTTGAAAGTAATTTACATTTAAAAACCAAAATCTTTAATTTTTCACGATTATTTTTATTTTCAGTACGCTCTAGTTTTTATGTATTGAACTTTATGTACACAATTGTTGCAATTTAATATTGCGTATTCCCTCCTCTTACTCGAATGACAGCCTGCATTCGCCGTTTCAATGACCTTATCAAGATTTTGATGGTCTCTTGAAGGATTCGGTTCCATTCTTCCCTAATGGCGGTTTCAAGGTCCCCTAATGTTGTAGGGACTGGATTACGGGCTCCAACCTTTTGTTTTAGGGTATCCCACATGTGCTCTACAGGGCTTCTTGCTGGCCACGACATAACCCGAATGGCGACCTCTTCAAGGTAATCGATTGTGATGCTCGTTACGTGTGGTCGTGCATTATCATGCATTAATTCAAAGGTCTCTCCAATATAGCCGGCGTATGGCACCACATGGTCTTCTAAGTTCTCTGTGATGTAGCGTGCTGCAGTTAAATCACCTCTTCGTATGAAAACCAGCTCAATGCGTCCAGTCAAAGATATCCCAACTCAAAACATTACAGAGCCTCCACCATAACTGACAGTTTCTCTTATGCAACACTGGGTATAACGTTCACCTGGTCGTCGCATGACATTGCGGCGTCCGTCAGAACTGTATAAAGTCTTTCGACTCTCATCACTAAAAAGAACTTACTCCCATTGACCTATAGTCCAGTTGATGTGGTTACGCGCAAATTGAAGTCTGGCTTGTCGATGAGCTGTGGTCAATTGTGGTCTTGTTGCTGGCTTGTGAGGTCTTGTATGTCTTCCAGATCCAGATCTTCTTCGATACTGCCTAGTCTCGAGAAAACTTTGGTAAACTCGTCGCACTGCAGAACGGCTCAGATTTGACCTCCTGGCCACGACACATTGACTTAAGCCTTGTTGCAGCAAAGCCACAACTTGGGCCGTCTCAGCTTCAGTAGCGTCCATTATTTTTAGACAAAGTAATCAAAGCTACAGCCTCAGTAAATAAACTTAACGTTATTAACGAGAAATCCCTACAAAAGTCTGTGTCGGACTGAAATAACGGTTCGAATTTGTTCTGACGTAAAACAACGAAATCAGCACTCAACAGTATTTCTGTATAAAAAATTGTAAAGTACCTTCAAGTGCAATAAGATTTACGACAAACAAGGTGTCAAACATCATATCCGACCCTCAAAATAAAAAACAAATGTGTGAAACAGCTTTTAAGTGAAACAATCGATAAATTTCAAACAAAAAATGGTCCCTTTCCGACTCTTCTATTCACTTCTGCAACATATATTTGCTTTGTCAGTCTTTCCGCATTCATTCTTTCTACATGACCAAACCACCGAAGCATTCCTTTCTTAATCCTAGTCACCGCATCATCTTGCAAACCACACTCTTCTTTTATCACACAGTTTCTCACCCTGTCACTCAGATTCAGCCCTAACGTACTCCTTAGCGACCGCATTTCTACTGCATTTATCCTACTCTCGTGCTTCTTCTGCCACACCCAACTTTCACTACCATACGTTAAAGTAGGGACTAATAAAGCACTGTGAATTGCCATACGTGCCTTTTTTGACACATTCTGACTTTTCACAATAGAGTGTAGAGCCCCATTTACTTTATTTCCTGCATTCACTCGTCGTTCAATATCCTTATCATATCTCTCATCCCTGCTGAATACACATCCCAAATATACGAACTCATCCACTTGTTCAATTAACTCTCCTTCTATTCTTATTTCACATACGTTTTGCTTTCATCTCTTTCAAAAACTATCACTTTCGTCTTACTTGCGTTCACTTTCATTCCCCTTTCTTTTAATGACCTGATCATTAATGTAACCATCATTTGCAACTCGGCCGCCGACGACGCAAGTATGACTTGATCATCGGCGTGCAAAAGGCATTTGATAGTTAACTCACCCATTCTTAACCCGCATTCTTCAACTTTCAAATTTTCCAAACAGCTGTCCATAAATAGGTTGAACAGCTACGGGGAAGCTACACAGCCCTGTCTGACACCTTCATGGATGCCAAACCAGTCCGAGTAGACCCCGTTGATTCTAACACAAGCACTCGAGTCCCTATACAGAGACGTTAATGCCTGTATCAAACCAGCGCTCAACCTAAATGCGTTCAGCGTTTGCCATAACACATCCCTGTCCACTCTGTCATAAGCCTTTTCCAAGTCCATGAACGCACAAAAACTTTTTGGTTTTTCGCCAAAAACTTCTCCGCGATCATGCGCATGGAAAAGACTTGATCTGTACACCCCATTCCCTTTCTAAATCTCGCTTGCACATCCCAAATTTTTTCATCAGTTTCTTTCATAACTCTTTCAATTAGTACCTTAGCATACAGTTTTCCCACAATGCTAAGAAGGATGATACCACGGTAGTTTTTACAGTCCTGCTGTGACCCTTTTCCCTTACATATTGGGACTATCACGGCTTTGCACCAGTCTCCCGGTACCCGCTTTAGTTCCCAAAATAAATTAAACAAGATGTACAGCAGGCCTGCCACCACGTCCTCTTCAGCCCTTAGCATTTCGAGTGAAACTCTATCATATCCGGCTGCCTTACCTACTTTCATACTTTTCATTGCTTTCATTATTTCATCTATACTTATCTCCCTATCTCTTTCATCTTCTTTTTCATTTAGTTTCGGAATTTCTATTTCATTTAGTTCACAATTCTCCTCACTCAAAAATTCGCTTTCAAAATATTCCTTCCATCTCTTTAGACTCAACGATTCATCATTCAGGATACAGCCATTCTCGTCTCGTATCGCATTCAATCTAGGCTGTTTTGAAAGTCCCCTGGTATTTCTTACGAGTTTCCAGAACATTTTAATATTTGCCTGGAAGTTATCCGATATTCTTCTATCATTCTTATCCGTTCTTTCTTGCTTTTTCCTTTCAACTAATTCTTTTACTCTCTTATTTAAACGTTTAAACTCTGCCTTTTTTCTTTCATTCTCATCATTCTTACCGCCAGTATTACCAGCTTTGGTCGCTAGTAAATCTAGCCATGCCCTCTTCTTTGCTTCAACTTCCATACGTACCTCATCATCCCACCATAACGTATTGTATTTCCTTTCATTCGTTCTCTTACTAACACCACATACTTCGGTAGCTGCATCCACTAAACCTTTCTTAACATTATGCCACACATTCTCCAAGTTTAACTCATTCACACACAACTCATCCAAATTACTTATTTTCTCCCTAATTCGGCATAAGACCAGGTAGTGGTCCGTCCCTACGTTGGACCCCCGGTAAACCCTTCTATCCACCACTGCGCTCCTCATTCTTTCATATATATATATATATATATATATATATATATATATATATATATATATATATATACTGGGTGGTTGAAAAGAAACTCCCTATCTTTATTTCGTTGTAAACTTTACCAGCTTCAACCAATTTCATGTAGTCTTATGTAATTTTTTTCTTTCCAGATTGAGAATTAGGTAAATGTCATAAAATGGCTCATGGGGGATTGTCAATGCAAGAGCGAGCGTAAATTGCCTCTCGCTACGAAGTGTGGCAATCAATAGTGGAAGTGCAAAGGTGGTGGCGGAATTTCAACGGACCTCATGCTGTTTTGGGTCCAAAAACCATTAAAAACTGTCATTCAAAGTTGATGAAAACTGGATCAGTGGCAGATAGTAAAAGAACCGGCCGTCCTTCAACATCAAGATCAGAAGAAAATATTAAAATTGTTCGAGAGATGTTCACAAGAAGCCCCTACAAGTCAACACGTCAAGGAGCTCGTGAGAGCGGACTTACACGGCATACTGTAATGACAGCCCTTAAGTCTTTCAGCTTTCGTCCTTGGAAGCCACATTACTGCCAAGAAATAACTCCAGAGGACTGTGATCGCCGGATGGAATACGAAGAGATTATGCTTGGATGGCATAGAGATTGGTCAGAACTGTTTGAAAACGTTGTCTGGACTGACGAGGCAATTTTTCATGTTGGGGGCTTTGTTAACCGTCATAACTATCATTATTGGGCAGAGTTTGACCCCAAAATAACTGCTCAGAAAATGCAAAACCGTCCGAAGGTAACAGTTTGGTGTGGTATGACATCAAGTCAAGTTATTGGCCCTTTTCTTATGAGGGAAACAATGAATGGAGAGCGCTATCTCAACCTGCTCGAAAATAGAGTTTGGCCAGCTTTGTCAACGTTTGATAACATTAAAAATATGATATTTATGCAAGATGGAGCTCCACCACACTTCGCATCGAATGTCCGACAGTGGCTGCATAACCGCTTCCCAGGGCGTTGGTTAGGTCGTCGCGGACCACACGAATGGCCTGCTCGTAGCCCGGACCTCACGCCATGCGATTTTTTCCTGTGGGGTTGGGCAAAAGATGAAGTCTATCGCTCAAAACCTCGCACTCTTGATGAACTGGAAGTAAGAATTTAGCAAGTGCTAACAAACGTACCTCAACACTTTCTACAAAAGTCCGTAGCAGATATTCCAAGACGTTTGCAAAAACTGGTAGAAAATACTGGCGCTTATATTGAATTCTGAATTTTTCTGATTTTTTTAAAACTCACATTGTACAGTTTTATTTGCTTAGTGGTTTGACAAATTAATGTAAAAAATTAAAATCTTATAAACAAATAAAGATAGGGAGTTTCTTTTCAACCAACCTGTATATATATATATTAGGCAAGATTATATATATATATATATATATATATATATATATATATATATATATGTATATATATAATATTGTCTCCGGGTTACATGCCGTGACTTAATTTTACCTCTAATCAACGTAGTTCCATTTGTAGATCCCCTAAGATTATATTCAGATGGATCGAATTGTTCACTACAGATTTTTATTCTATATCCGCCATGGAAACGCATACGCTGGCCGTAATATGAGCGAGCTTGTTGAATTTGGTACGTTCCCAGGGCGAACAAAATCAGATCTTTCATTTCTAATATTGGAAAATATAAAATGTTATCCCTATCTGCAGCAATATTTTGAAAGTAGGATGTGCGTCAGTTCATATTTCGATCTTCAACCATATTAGCCAGATTATTTTCGAAATTCATTCGCTGCCTAATTATTTCTAATATTTCTGTGGCATATATATTATCTACAAAGCGAACACCAAACCTGTTTAACAGAGCCGCTGCTATTTGGAAGTTTTGCATCATATGTGGTAGAGACCTATGGAAATATTTTAAAATCTCTTTTAAAATCTCCATTCACGGCCTCTACCACCCATCTGCAAATTGTGACACAGCGACTCCGATTGGCTTGAGCAGTAGTGAGTTGGTGTTCACCTTCTATCAAAGATTCTGGCATATATGGTTTGTACCCACATCCTTTTAACAAACTTATACTGTCTCTGAATCCCCTATCCAAGATAAATATATAATTCTCTCTAAAATATGATCTTAAGGCAGAGCTCTCACTGAACAAATTGGTCATTATTTCTGCATCTGATGTAGTTGCTTTGTATGGGCCAAAACAATCAACAATATATCCATCACATGCGACAATCATGAATGGTTTTAATAAGTTTCTATATTTGTGAAGGGAGTAACTCTCTTTTTGGAACATGTAGTTTGAACTTTTATTTATGTATATATATATGTTTCATCACAAATTACAATAGCATTTGTGTTGTTTTCATTTCCATAAAGACCATGAGGTATTGTTAACTTGTGCTCCAGCAGTTGCTCTCGCGTTAAATGGTTTATTCCCAAGTTTTGGAGCACAGAATCTTGGAACAAAATCTCTCTTATTTTGTCTATAAAATTCTCTAGTGTTCTGCTTGGCACTTGTACTAAAGTGGCAATTCTATCATCGGAATCCCCTGTCCTCATCTTCATTAAAAGCGCTGCTAGGCCTAAGCATCCTTTTCGTGCTTCATTTATACGCGGAACTTCTTCTAATATACTGTTGAACTTTTCTTTGGTAAGTCCAATCCAGTATTCGAATATTCTGTCATCCATTTCAAGAACATTTTCGAAGTCCAATATTGTATTAACTTTAATAAAAGAAAATACATGTTGCACTTGGTCTGCAGTAAATGTGTCCAAACTATTTGCAGAATCATATAAAGTCTCCCTTAAATTGCTACTTAAATGCAAACACAACCTAGTTTAGGTATGTAGTAGTTGTGATTGCTTAGAACTATAGCACGGAGTTTGTCACTGATGCCATGCAATGTGGTACTGTTACAATGGCTGAAAACACGATTGTTGTTGTTAGCCGCTCTTCTATAATCTGGTAAAGTTAATCCATTTAGTGCGCGACTCACTTCTTCATTTGAAACAGATGGCTGCACCTCTGCTACTACAGGCATATCTGCTGTTGACGACTCCTGAGTTGCAGATTGCAGTCTGTTAACATCATGGGTACGACGGGCCTCTCTTTGAGTGCGCAACCAACAAGGGTGACATACCTTATCAGTTTCTGTAACCTAGAAATAAAAAAATACTTTACTGAGAAAGCTGATCAATTTCTTTTTAAATAAAATGTGTGGGAAAACAGGCATATCATTATTTTACATGGTAGAGTCATGCTGCAGTTATATTAACATTATAGTTGTAGCACGAATGGGTCGGCTCGACCGGGGAGGACCACGCTCTCACAGAATACCAGAGTCAAATAGTAGCTTAAAGCTGCTGTGTTTCGTATGGTGAGTGTAGAGAACCGGAGACCCTTTTTACTGGAAGGAAACGAGGCATTCCACCTAAGTCCTCACGGGTGACAACGCATCTGCATTTTGTTTCGTGATCGAGGACAGATGTAGATGTCCCTGGGCCACAGCAACCACTTACCATCAGGTGGACTGTGTGCTCGTTTGTCACCCTATTCTATAAAAAATATCAGTAAAACCCTTTTGAATATATTCTAATACACTGCCATTCAGGTTTGATTAGCATATTTTTTATAGCGTAGGGAGACAAACGAGCACACAGTCCACCTGATGGTAAGTGGTTGCTGTGGCCCATAGCATCTACATCTATCCTCGATTACGAATCAAAATGCAGATGCGTTGTCACCCGTGAGGACTAAGATGAAATGCCTCGTTTCCAGTAAAAAGTTTAACGTCTTACTAATCTGCTATTTTCACTAACTCTATATTTTTTATGGTTAAATAAATATTGAAGAAAATTGAAACATGAAATCTTCCTGATAACAACTGTAAATTAATTATAAAACCAAGCGTGGCAACATTCTCCTATTAGAAAATCTACGTGGCAGCCAATCTTCAGCAGTAGAATTTATAGGCTTGTAATGGATGTATAAAAAGAACACCCACACTAGTATTTTCTTGTGTGCCATGAAGTAATTTTACACACATGGACAAACACCCAGAACCACCAAATTATATATTTTTTGGCCACATCCAGAACCACCAAATTATATATTTATAGGCCATACTGTTGTGTTTGTATAATAAATTGTGGAGTAGTTGCAGCCTGTCAGTCTTAGAATAAACGGTGACGGCAAGATTCGAACACACGGCCCGCAGTGCCGAGTCCAAGTGCCGCTTAGTCGCTATCGAGCGTTACCGAGCCGTCAAATAAAGTTAAAGTTACAGCCTATATACGTCCCACTGTTGGGCACAGGCCTCCTTTCATTTCTGAGAGGGTAGGGCAAGTAAGTGTTTGCCGCGCTGTACCAATGCGCCTTGGAGAACTTCACATGTCTTAGAATTCATTTTTAATTTTTATTTCTCAGATATGCAGGTTTCCTCACGATGTTTTCCTTCACCCCCGAATGCGTGGTAAATTAACACTTAAAATTGCAATTAATAATTTCATTGGTGCCGGCGGGGATTGAACCCGGGTTGCTCGCGTAATGGGACTTTACAGCGAGCGCTAACTATCTGAGCTACCACGGCTGCCGTCAAATATTTGAACACAATTAAAAAACAGAAATAGAATTAAATCTGCGGTAATTTCCAAACTCATTTAAAATCGTTTTGTTAATGGCGATAGTTTTCTAGTTAGAGTAATAATCTTCTCTGTCTTATTTCCGAAATTTTCTGCAGCTTTAATACTCTCGTATATTTCATTAGTACGTTCGAAGTTGAATTAACGACGCTCATAACTTGATAATTAATCTGGAGGTTTAAGTTTAATTACGTACAAGACATCTGGTACAGTATAGATAATTCGCCTGACGAGCTTGACGATTATGGCTCCCTACTGTAAGAAGGTCCGTGTTCAGCTTCGGACAGGCTAATGAAGAGAGAAGGTGAACAATCAAGCAAGTTTTAAAAAAAATGGAATTTAACATTGTTTAAATAGAATAAGGGTGACTAGCCAGCACACGGTTTACCTGATGGTAAATGGATACTGTGGCCCACAGACTTCTACATCTATTCTCGATTAAGAATCAAATGTTTAAAGATGATTTGAAGCGACAGTAGCCTAATGGCAGGGCGCGGACCGCGAACTCAATAAGATCGTGGGATCGAATCCACCATTCGACTACTGGCGTGAACCACTCGTAACGCAAGCAATTTAAGCTTACCACGAGTGGTTAAGGGGAATATTAGTAATGTTGATAGCATTGTTAATATTCTTAATTTAAAAAAAATGTCTTGTCACCCCTACGGACTAACATGGGATTCCTCCTATCTAGTAAAGAAGGTCTCCGGTTCTCTACACTGACCATACGAAATACAGTAGCAGTGAGCTGCTATTTACGCTGGTATTCTGTGAGAACGAGGTCCTACCCCAGTCGAGGCGGTCTATTCGTATAACCATTATATAGCTGTAGCATGACCATACCGTGTATAAATATTTAATTGTGGGAAAATTTCATGAATGCAAAACATGAAAATCAAAATAAGATATTTAAAAAGTTAAAGCCGACTTCAAAGAAGTAAAAAATGACATATACCTATGTATATATGTAGCTTAAGAAGTCTGTGAATACAGAAGTATTAAAGTATATACAGAATATAATACAGGCGTAGTATACAGAAGTATTAAAGTCTTCACTTCCGAAGGACACAATTGTGTTGAAATTATTTTATTCATTTAGTTCTGTAAAGGTGGAATTTACATTTTATCAATTTTCTAATTTGTTACTGCAACCGTCACTGAAGTATTTGATGAAAAAGAATAATTGAAATCGGTTTACAATCTACAATGACATTCAGAATAAACATAGAAAAGGGGGAAAAAGGGATCACAGTAGAATTGAGAAGCTTGGTACGTATATATTATATTTTTTCTTTAAACCGCTCAAATATTTTACTCTAGCTGACATAGTCGTTGTGTTGAAAAATGTAATGCAGCATCGTGCTTACAGAAAGCTCGCTTGCAACAATGTCGTATCTCATTTTTATTTTTATATAACCACAACAAGGTACAATGACACGAAAAATGCAAGTAAGTAGTTTAAAGATAATTTTTTAAATAATTTGAACTTACAT